TCATTTTTTTTTATCTCGGTTTAAGTGTTTGCCAATTTCCTGGACATGAATAAACTGCGTACGTTCCAGGTGGCAATACATACTATCCTCTCATATATTTGTATCTCCTCTTCACTTCCTTGAATATTAATGGTAGTTGAGATGATTTGAAACCTTGCTCAGTCTGCGGACTGTCATGTCAGAAACCAGAAGTCCCGTGAGAATTTTTAGTGGTTTATTTCTGTTGTTTACGAAGATATCCCTCATTTTTCTCTCATCTCTTGGATGTAGTGACATGTTTTCGACCACAATTTAGGGCACGTTGATGAGTCAGGTAGGGATATGTGTAGTTCACCATCGAAATAGTTCTAATGAACGATTCTTTCAACTGAACTAATTGAACTTGTTCATTAATTTTCATAGAACTAGTTCACTGCGAACGATTTGCATTATAAATTATGTCTCGACTTCTAAAGAAGAAAATAATGAATGAATGAGTTAGAACATATATTTATTATTTTGTGAATGGATGGACTAACTAGTTAAAAAAAAATGCCGATTAGCCTCAGATAACAGATTTATAATTCTTATGAATGTGACAATACTATAAAGTCTTATCTTAATGTCATAATGGTTTGGATCTTATGCCCATGTATTGGCTTGGATGTTGCCATGCTGTGTTGTTTCTTGTATTGTAATTTTGAAATAAAAATTTTAGTTGTGGTTAAAATGATTGAGGCATTTACATAAAATATAATTTTATGTGAAAGTGAGAATGAAAATGTGTTATTTAATGTTCCTAGAAAAATCACTGATTTTTTTTTGTAAAGGTTCTTTTAGAAATAACCTACTTATAAATACCTATTAGTTTAAATACACGTAAATATAAAAATAAATCATACTTGAACCATATTTATATTTAAAACGGTTAATAAAAGACAAATCTTAATTTTTTGCAAATAAAAACTAACTAATCATATAATAATTTAAACCATTTAAACCTAAACATACGATCGAAAGAAATAGTTCCGAACTACTTGTACGGTAGTGAACTAGTGAAAGACTGACTGAAAACCGAAGTAAACGGGCGACCAGCGCCGAGCTTGTGTGATGATTGAGACGAGACATCTGGCAACCAGTTCTGTTAGGGTTGGATTTCGATGTCGGTCCTACAAATAGTTCTTTCGCGAACTAGTTCACTGAACTAGTTCATTTTTGTGAAATAATTCTGTTGAACTAGTTCGTCTAAAAGAACTAAAGCACACTCTAGAGTCAGGGCCAGGGGTTCGTTGGTAATAATTTTTTTCTTGTTATTGCTCACTGTTGCTTACGCTACTTGGCACTGTTGAGCTTTCTGACGTTGGGGAAGCTTTTGTATTTAATAAAAGTGTCGTTTATCTCCACTATTTTAGTTCAGTCATGTCTTTAACCATTATGATTTTGTTCTCAAAAATCGATATTTTTTGAAAACGTCTTTAAAATTAAAATTGATAGTTTTTTCACTCACAATCACCACTAATACTTTATTAAAACATACTACATATATCAAACGATATTATTCTTTCAAAAGCAAAATAAAAACAAATTCAATTCTAACCTCCAAGCGCAAATTCACCACAATGTGAATGTTGTGATATAATTTGACACAAATGACAGTTCTAGAGCTGTCAACGTAAAAAAACAAAATTATTAATGGCAGAGCATATCGGCATACCTTAATCGTATAGCAGCATTTTGAACAAACGTGAAAAACTTAAAATTTTGTGACTGATCATAATAATTTGATCACATATTCTATCATACAATACCTAAACGTTGGCGTACTAGCTTCTTCTCGAAGTTCCTTCTCCTATCGTAGATTGGAAATCATGACGATTCTAACTTTATTCACAGATATAATAAATAATTGAGCTGAACTCATTAAATCAGTCTCTTAATAGTAGGGTAAAATTATTTTGGTGGCTCAGGCATGTTAACCTGCTTTTAACCTGATGATGGAATTATTATTCCGAAAACGTTTGTTATTTTTACGAAGAATGTTGCGTTTCGATTTAATTTGAGTCTCTTACCACTCCCTGACACGTGTTTCTGGGTCTACCCGTCATCAGAAGGAGTTTGTAAGAAGATTCGTTATGTGTTATTTTGATGTAGCTCTTTTAAGGGTTTTTTTAAATATACCTACTTACAAAGATTTAAACCTCTTTTTGTGATACATGGTATAAAGCCAGCTGCAGGAATTTATTTTCCTTGTGGATTTTATATCCTAATTTATTATGGATGTTGCAAATTTAAATTAAATAAATATAATAGATATAAAATAAAACATTTTTTAAAGTATACAAAAATATTTTTCTTAGTGTACGTTATAAGGGGTAGTATTATAATTATCGATTTCCCTTGTCTAGTGTAGGATCGCGTGACTATTTTTTAAGGGGTTGTGTGACCATTTAGGAATATATTCGCGTGTTCGTATGATAGGTGCATTCTTTGTTACTATACAAACTGTACTTTAGTTGAGGTTTTAATCGATGAGAGTGATAATGCGGAATTAGTGTAGTTTGCAATAATATTGTGTGTTACTTAACTATGGTTTGTTATAGTGATATAAAAGAGTAAGCAACTTATTTTGAATTAGTATTAGTATTTTTATATTAAAAATAATGATGAAGCCGGAACAGCAATAAACCGTTTACAAGTTTCACAAAGAATAAAGTTTTGACATTAAAAACATTAAAGTTTAAAAAATAATTTAAGGTGCTTAATAATCACCCTATCTCGATGTAATATAAATAATAGGAAATGGTCTAAAAATTGGCATGCATGATAATAAAATATGTTATACAAACTTTTGGAAAAAAAAATATTTGGACTCGTATAAGATTTTAAAAACGTCAAGAAAATTCTGAAGATAATTTAAGACATGTTATAAAAATTTCCACAAGTATTGAAACAAACAAATTTTTTTATTCTACACTTAGTTTTATTTACTATTTTTATTGGGAATAAGCCACAATTTTACTTTAAAATAAGTTTATTTTGACGTTTCGATTTTCTCTTCTAAAATGCTGCAAGAAAATAGGTTTAACAGTTAAAGGGTTCGGTGCTAAAACCAATTAACTCGCACATGTAAAAAGTAACCTCTCTTGGCCCGTGGCCTGATTTTCCGATGTTGCCAATGTTACCATTGGTGGCAAGAAACAATCATTTCGTGCAGTTGACCGATTCTAGCACCTAAGTACTCGTATTGATTGATGCAGTCAACTCCTTAGCCCATGCATTTACCTTTATAGTTGTTGGAGATTCTTCCACCAAAAGATGTGCAAATATTTTTCTTTACGCTGCATATAAAAACTGAATTTAGGTAAAAAAAAAAAGAGTTGACTGGTTTTTGCACCGAACCCTTCAATTGGTTTATTTATATCGATATTTTTTTTTCTGGGGCTTCTTTGTTTTAAGGGTTAGTTTGAATGTTGTTATTACATCATTGTTATCTGAAACTATCTCCATCCCTGGATACGTATTAGTGGATATTATGCTGTTTATAGACTATTTAACCATTCATAATATAATCAATTTGGTATTTAACCCTTTTTCCTTCCGTAACTAACACTTCCCTTTCTTGTAGAAACTCAGTGACTTCCCATTAATTTCACTACAACGAAATTCTTCTATTTCACTCTCTTGTTGCTATGTACATGCATAGACATATATTACTTATATTAATTTTTATTTTTGTTTGTAGCTGGAGCATCATTACTCTCTTTCTCTCTCCGACGCGGGTTTGCTAGTCATTGATCTTCTCATATCATTAATATTCTTGACAAATTTGTTTTTGGCTAACTCGTATCACAAGATCATGTAACTTAATTCTAATTGCGGTAACTTATACGTATCTTCTTAAGGAAGCTAATAACTGGGCGCAAAATCCGTTGCGAGAGGCACTACACCTCAAATAGAACCTATGCAGCATGAGTTTATAGACGAACATCTATTCCTCACATTGGAATGATTCTTACTCAGTTTATCAATGCTATTTAGTTCAAGTATACATTTAATTTTTTTAACAGAATAAAACAGAATATTCGAAGAAACTCGTTCTCTTGACTTGTTTCTTTAAAATAATATAAAAATCTCTTACGAAAACTTGATTTAAAAAAGATTATATTAAAATATTATTTATATTAAAACTTTTATACCCTGATATATCGATATCGTGTTTCACATTGTCGTTGCTTCTAGAATTGAATTATTTTCTAGTTAACAAATGATTGTCATTTTTTAATAAACTATTAAACATGTAATTAAAACATTTCAGAAAAGGAGTCGCTTATTTATCCGCACTCGTTTTCCAATTTTTCTCAATATGTTATTTGCATAACTTGTAGTTCTAGATGGAGTATTATCAAGTTTAATATCTGACCCAATCAATTTTTAATTCACGTTTTGAAGTCTGCGGAAATGTATGTATTTAATCATAATTATAGAACATCCATTCTGTGACTTGTTTAGAATGAAAATACTTCAAAATACTCTTTTATAATGAAAGTGGAATACATTTTATATGTCGCTTGGGGTATGTGAGTATGTGAACATAAGCAGAGTAACTTCATAACGTTTTAGTAAAAAAGCATTCAAGATAATTTTCAAATTTTGTGTATAAAATAAAGTTTAATAATAATATTTTGATCGTAAATTGATACCCTATTGAGAATGGTACGTCGAAACTGAAATCGTTATCGTGAACATTTAGAAAATATCATTTCTGCTATTTAGTATATTACTGGTTATATATGCATTAATTATTATTGATAACTTCTTTTATTATATTTCCTACAATCGGTTGCGAAATAAATGTACTCTTATTTCATACACTGTCTGCACTCATAACAATCCATCTTCAGCATACAACAATTGCATATGTGATTCGTAACACTACATTACGCGATTACAACCTGTTAAAGGCTTATCTGGCATCTATAACTTACTTTGGTGTAAGTAATCCACAAACTTATTTTTTTTAGTGTGACGGAAACTCACCAGGTGGCCGAAGCACAGCAAGAGAAAAATGCACGTCTTCGCGAAGCCTTCGGGATCTCAGAGTACTTCGTGGATGGCAGCAGCTTCGACCCCGATCGCCAAGCCAAAGAGAAACTTGCGAAAAGTGTCGCTATACAGGAACGAGAAAGACTGAAAGCTTTGGAAAGGGACAAACAGAACGAGCCAGACAAAGCGGACGTTCGGAAATACCAGCTAGTACACACACCTAGTCCGGAACCGGACGCTGATGATGATATAGAAAAGGAAAAGGATGGGAAAAAGAAGAAGAAGAAGTCCAGGGAAAGGTAAGTTGCGATTCGGAATAATTTTTAGCTGTGTAGTATTTTGTGTGCATGCTATTTTTTAGATAATAAGACGACAAAAATAGATTATTCAGTTCTGGTAAAAGTTTCGATATTAAATGGTAGCAGTCATCATACACTTTTTAAAAATAATTCCTTATATGTTGATAAATTTAAATATTTTTGGTTTTCCTACCATTCTCAACATATCAAAACAAAATTTCTTTTAAGGGTCTAGATGGTTTAAATAAGATCAAGTACGAAGTCATCTTCTCCATGGACATATTAATTATTGACATATTGTCATATATATTTATGACTAAATCGGCAAGTAGGTTCTGCTGCTTTATCACGAGGATGGTGGCGATTATATAGCTTTTTGAACTAAAATATATCTCGAAAATAATCGTCTATTGCCGATCAAATGCTATCTGGCTATCAATAGTGTTGCACGAGAGAAGAATACAACCTATGCCTTTGGTTTAAATATGTTTAAAATGTGGCATTCAAAAGAATTCCTTCTATATGTAGTTGAAACATTAATTTAAGTATAAGAAAATGTATCCAAAATTTTTGAAGATTTAAAATCATTCGATTGTAACGAATTATTATTACGTACGTTAATCACATTTCAAGTATAAATTCTACTGTAATTACAAAAATTAGCAATATTCAATGCTGTGACGACAATATAATTTCACGGTTGACAATTCTAGAATAGAAATTCTTCAATAGAATAAATCATTCGGAAAATAATTCTAGTAAGCCAAAAATCAAAAATAACAATATTACCAGTGCTGACATAAGGGTCGTCCGAAACATGGGCCGTCTCAAAAGCAAATCAAAACACCTTCTACTCGTTTTTGAACGAAGGATCCTGAGAGGTATATTTGGAGATATCTGTGAAAATGGTATTTAGAAAGGACTTGATATCTCTTATAAAATGTAGAGACTAGATTGGCAGGTCATCGAGTACAACCATAGCAGAACCATAACACTCCCAGGTGAATTCTTTCACTACATGTTGAAGGTAGACATAGAGGTAGGCCAAAACTTGGAAGAATGGTGTGGATTAGAAGGCTTGGAAAGGTTGAGGCTCTAGGATAGTAGCACTAGCGATGATGATGGAATGAAAATATAAAAAATTATAATACATTATATAGCAAATAACACAACTAGGAATACACTAATAAATGTTCTAAACTCTATAGTTTCAAATGAAATTTTGTATACCGTCACACGCTTAACAAAACAAAAAGCAATAATTGTTTTGAAATGCTGTTTCAGTTTAGTGTTTTAGCCTCAACACGTTTTAATTTTGCTTGTTCTTTTCTGTTTTTAATACTCCTATTTAATTTTTTTATTTAGTTTGCAAAAAAATAATAGCTGAGCAATTTCCTTATAATTAGGAAAAACATTGCAAACCAAGTCTTTGTTTACTATGATCATATGGATTTTGCTTTACATGGATATTAACGTAACTTATGATGATTATTTAATAGGTACCTGAAACAGTGTAATATATTTTGACCATTCTGCTCATAATTTGTTGTAAAAGTTACGTATATACGAGACGATTCCACACGGTGTTAAGGTAGTGACATGATAAACACAATAGTTACTTCGGATATAAGTGAAACGTTGAAATTGAAGTATTTTTGTGTTTAATATAATACCTAGAAAAATTCTGATGAGTATTTTAATTTGTTTATTTGTTGCTTGTTTCATTTAGGCATGTTGCCAGTTTATCTTCAACGCTGCATCTTATTCTCTTAAAATCGTTCGTTTCATCTCGTTCCAGGTTGACCTGTGCCTCTTTTTCTAATTGGTCGTTTATCTCGGTGACTTAACTATGCTGTATTCTGCCATTCTATTAATTTTCTAGTTTCCTATCTATTTTGCACCCACTCATTTATGTTGTATACTCTGCACGTATTTCTGATCTCATTATTCTTTGCTTCGACCATTAATTATTGATATTCCACAACGTATTACTCTTCTTAGGGTTCTGATTTCATTTGTTTCTAAGTATCCTTATGTTGTGCTAGTTTCACGTCTTGTTTCTGTGGTGCACTTAATGACAGACCGGATTACAGATTTATACATGCACGTTTTTGTTTATATTATTAGGTGTTTGCTTCTCCATGTTGTGCAGTTGAGGAAACCCGATGTTCTGCTTACGTTTTTCATTTGTTTCCTCACTCCTTCCTTAATATTGTTATTATTTGATTCCGAGATATTTAAATTTCATTATTTATAGATGGTAAATTCCAAAGTAGCCGTTTGGGGACGTAAGCATGCAGTTTCAAACAAAATATTTGGCCAATTCGTCTGCATTTTACAGAGATATCTGAGTGATCAGAATCCAGTGTGAATAACTGTTATTGGTCTGATTTCAGTCTTCTGAAGCTCTAAGAGTAGTTTGCTGAGCGGACAAAAAAACTATAAACCTTTGGCTTGGAATATTTTCCAGTACATCCTCCACTGTACTGATTGGGGTATATTGTAGAATGACTTTGTCTTATCAAATAAGTGATCCTTTACCAAGGCTATCACCAATCTCAGTACCAACAACTCGTTTATGACCATAAACCCATGACAAAGTTAGGTGTTGGTGTTAGTAGTTAGGTGACCATCCTTCCCAAGTTACTTCAGAGGCTGTTTGCAGTTCCTACAGACTTAAGTTGTAGACTTTAGATCCTTCAGTTTAGGTTGTCTGAGACAATACATATTTTGGAGGAATTAAAGCGTTTGTTTTCAGGCACTCTTTAGCAGAATAATCTATTGCTATCAATTCTGCTCAAGATATTGTAGGCCTATTTTCGAAGGCTATCGTCTGGTAACAGTCTAGTGTTAGGACCAGTAACTCTTGGTCCTTGTCTCTCCTATGTTGTGGATCCATCAGTAAAACACGCAAGGGTTTCTCTTGCAATTTCATTTTAGTGTTAAGATATACTTAATGTTTATGATTATATTTAGTATGAGTTCGATATTTTGTTTTGTAGATATAATATCTGTGAGCGTCACCATTATTGTATTGTTCCAATTCTTAAAATCTCTCCAGATGTCTAATAAGATCGCCGGGTTTTACATACTCAGCCCGTTAGTTAACCTAACAGCACTTTCTAGAGAGATCATCGTTACATGTATATATAAAGGAAGGTATACCATTATCTCTAAAGCTTGGATCTCATTGCACTCTTGATTCCCACACAAGCCAATATTGTGTTTGTTAAGTAACTATGCGTCTGACTACTTTTATATATAAAAAGAGGTTAATCTTTGTAAATGGGTATATTTATTTAAAAAACCCTTAAAAGGGCCACATCAATAAAACAAACGTTTTCGGACCACACAGTCCATCATCAGGTTTTTAAAATCGAAAAATGCCTAAAAATAAGTATAAACCATTTAGTTAAAACATACGAGATTGTGAAATTTTGACTATGGTTGAAAAGCAAAAGATGGTTATACTTACTAGGTCACAATGCCTGAGCCACCAAAATACTAGGGTAAACACCCTTTAAATTACATTTAGTTATGAAAGATTGTACATTGTGTTGTAAAATAACTGTGATGTTCAGTATTAAATGAAATTTGACTAGAGGTAACACATGGCTCAATCGGGTTCCAGAGCCGGTGAGAGAGAACCTCTACACTCGGAGAACAGCTGGGAACTGATTGACAAGATACTTTTGAAGGATGAAGATAACAGAATGTCAATGCAACAAAAACTATAATAGTTGTACATAGTATTACTACAGCCAAAAGATTCAACAAGTTTTGATGATTTTAAAAAAATAACAACAATCTAGGTGTTGGGATTTAAAAACTTTTTTATCTATTAATTTAGGGTATAAACGATGTGAAATCAATGATGGTATTATAGTCATGATTAATAGAATGACCTGTGCCTTAGGCAACTTATGTTGCTTTTCGTCGTATGGAATGTGGTCTAAAGTGTATTTAATGTTGGGTTAGCTTATATATATGAAATTTATCCTTTTATGTAACACATCTAGGACAAGGTAAAAATTAAATAACAAATATTTGAAGCTAATATCAGACCTCATATTTAAATGACTTTATTTAAGACTGCTCCTATGGTGAAAAATTAATAAAATTAAGTTTAGTAAGATGGAAATCTACAGGCTGAAGAAATTAAAGTAGTAACCTATGTGATTGAATTTAAAATTTAAGAGGCTGGGTTCCTCAGAGACTAATGAGAATAAAAGTAAAGGAAATGACTGAAGAAAAGGAGGGGGGCGGTTGAAGGAGAAAAGGAGTTAATCAACAATTAGAGATAATAGGGGTCCTTTATACTTAAAGTATCTAGCACCCTGAACAAAATCTATTTTGGTGGTATTAAATTCAGTTTGTGGAAACCTGAAATTTATTGTATAAGTGTGCTACTAAGTTGTTGACCGAGAGAAGGTGGACAATGGTAGATAAGGATTCTTTGTAATATGGTAGATTATGAATTTTAATAAATTGTTAGATAATGTTTGAGTGATTACTAAATTAAAACTATTGGATACATGTTTAATATATGAATTGACCAAGAAATAATGAAAGAGAACAGAATTGACAAGAATGTGATGTAGAAGTGAAGAGTGGATAAGATAGTGATATGTTGGTATGATGGATGTGGATGGTTCTGAAGTTAACATTGGGGTCGAAAATTTGTGAGAGGAAGGTGTGGCGATATTGTAGAAAATGGGTGTTTGAAGAAACACAAGATTGTGTAGGATTAAGGTGTTGACGTTTGTATAGTAAAATAAGGCAGAGAAAGTAGGGCAGTATTGTGAAGTGTGAACTATGAAAAAAGTTGACGATGTAAAGGTTGAAAGTCACGGTTGAAAGATACATGGCGATTAACGCAATTGGGGCTATTTTGTTTTTCTTTGACTATTTCCAAGTCTTCATATAGATCTAATTTTAGAAAATTTTTTTGGGGAATATTATGTAACAAAGAGACATATTCTGGGATGTTGAGGGTATGT